AATTTCAATCTCCAAGGAAAGGTTGCAACCATTCTACTTAGTTACCAATATCAAAAGCGAAAGAGGAGGGAAGAAAAGGAAAAAAAGACACAAGTGCTTGCGCTTTCCCATGTATTGCAAACGTTAAAATCAGTTCAACTAATTTCTCGAAACCACCGCATAAAGAAAATCACAGACATAGGGGGCAAACAACCGCTAGATTTTTTGGATATCAAATTCAAACGAAATGAAAACTGGACTCACCCTCTTAAAACCAGGTTCCATGCTACCAGAAAGCACAACTACAACAGGTGATTCACTTCCAGTAACACACATCAATCCCTTCCATATTATGAGGGCTGATGTCACAATCAATCCTGAACCATATCATGACTACAAAAATACTAATAGCAATTAGGAAAATAATCCAACTTGAATTGATAAACATGATGAACAGAAAAAATATACAAATATCTCTAAAAACATACACCATATGGGTACTAATAGAACACGATCTATCCTTTTCAAATGAACAAATAACAGAAAAAAAGAGAATATATTGTCTTTCCAGTCTAAGTAAGAGCCAGAGCCTTAAATATAAACTGTTGCTGAGTACAAGGTTCCAATTTCAGCTCAATAAGGGCCAGAGCTAGCTATTGGAGAGTACTAGGGAAGGAAGATCCATAATACAGAAGTCCTGTAGGATTGCTAGAGACAACAACGACAAAGATGATGGCTTCCCACAGCATTTCAGGATTGACACAAGTCACTATCTTAGGTTGTGGACAATAAGGGCAACACCATCAAAATAAAACGATGGCTTAGGAGGGAACGCTCAGTTTCAATAGAAACTAAGAAGCCCGTTCTGTGAGATCCTTTGTATAAGTCAAGGGTTTAGAAGTGTAGAGTAGGAAACCCATCTAAATGAATATTAACAGTTTTTTGGTTCAGTACGTAGGAACCTAGATGCCAAGAAGGATGTTTCAAACCATTGTTACAATGACTCCTATCGAAAGCGGTGCTCCAGCTCCAAGAACACAGTTCTGCAGTTAAAGAGCCAGAACTCGTTCCCAACATATTCCCATTTTATTGGGAATGTGTTCCTTGTTCTCTTGGGAACTCTTTGTACCAGTGTTGTCCAGAAATCTTGGCGGCCACCAAGGCACTGTGCGGCCAGGACCCCCCAGGCCGCCTAGGGCCCAGAACATTGGATACACTTCAACTTTTGAATACACAACACAAGCACAATTTATTAAAAATTGAACAATTGCAAGCGCGAACACAAACCAATGCACAATATCAGGCATATAGCCATACAAACTCTTAAAAGCATATGGAAGAGCTCTAAGATCATTAATACATAGATCAGCAACCTCTCTCCTAAAGTTAGCATAATTTTTGTGCCTATACTTTCTCTTCACTATTTTGAACTAGTTCTTTTTTTTCTCGATAGTAGGAATTATTGATCTCCATAATAGAATAAAATTACAATTTACTATACATTTTGGTCGTTATATCTATCAAAACCCCAGTACTTATATAAACCCCATCAAGAAGCCTCATATGATCATAGTCATAGATTTGGTCATATCCCTTTACACCATTATATTCACATTAGAAAGAGACTTTCAAATTCTAATTGTGAAATGCAAAACACCAAAAGCTTTCTCCTTTTCCATTCGGTTTACACCCCTCGTTATACTTGGATGAATAAAAAGTGCATACCCTTCAAAGACAAATTCACCCCTTCACATTGTTTTTCATTTCAATCGGTTACTAAGGTAACTAACGCATCATAGGAAGTTATCATATTTCTCCAACAAAAAAAACAAAAACACACACACATCATAGGGCCCCTTTAGCCCTCTCTCATTTGCTTCTCTATGCCTCCCTACTAAGCAGAAGCAACACCATCAAAGTTCAAAGATGTGCAAAGGTGGGTGAGAGGACGTATAAACTCAAGGCCAGAGAGATGTTCAAATAATTAAAAAAACTTAAGTAGCCATGAACTTTGCTAGGCTCACTCACACCCAAGTCCAAAATCATATTGACAACAGATTCAGATAAATCAGCCCTCAATCAGCCAGACTCAAATAAGATTCCGTTGCTATTCTATATTAACTCAGCATTTGCACACAATGCTTACGTAGACCATAATTTCCCAGTTCCATTGATACTCGACAAGAGGACTCAACTCAACTTGCACTATAGTTGTTGGAAACGTCTGTGATTCCGATTCACTTCTGGAATCCAAATTGCGGAATTGCGTGTGCCAGATGATTCCCACTCTCAGAATTGCCATCCGTCTACTGAAAAATTACCGGAGGTGTGATTCCCAATAATCAGAATTGGGATCCAATAAAATAGGAACCGTGATTCCTATATGTAGGAATTGATATTCCATCATGTTGGAATCGAGTTTCCTACCTTTCAAGAATTGCACATTCCCAAACCATTCAATGGCTTCCGGAATCGCAATCCAATGAAATAGGAATCGAGATTCCTACATTACTGAAATCATTGTCCCCATCGATTTGCACACCAATCCCCTCCGGTATATGAGAGAAGTATTTTGCGAGAAAATATTTAAATTTTTACATTTTTTACAAGCTTGAAATTTGAAGTCCATATTTTTAGTACAATTAGGCAACCATATTATGTGAATCGATATCTTTGTCAGCAGTGCCACGCAATGGACTAGGTCTATCGAGAGCCCTTTAACATACTAATGAAAACAAGATCAAGCTCCCTTTATCTCCTTTCTTGGAATATATAAAACCAATAAAATGAAATAGAAATTCTCAATCTTTATTAAATGTAGTTTTTAAAAGTGAGTAAATTGATTTTAACTAAATTTCTCCAATTTAAAGATGAATTTGACCAAAAACACCCATAGGATATCTTAGTGCCATCATTTATTAAACACTATTAAATTTGCAGTAACAAATTTTTTTAATGAGCACCAATAATAAGCATTTGGTTATTGCCAGCATCCCATAGGAACGTCTTACCTTGAGGTGGGGCTACCACCCAAACGTCTTACCTTGAGGTGGGGCTACCACCCAAACGTCTTACCTTGAGGTGGGGCTATCACCCACTACATGCTTTAGAGATTGATAAATTTATTGGGTAACATGGCAAAGTATATTGTACATGGTTTCATCCCAAAAGTTTATTAAGGCTTTTTGGCTCTCACATCAAAGTGTCGGAACCTAAATAATGGGTATTTAACCCTATACAAAAATGTAATATGATACAAATGGGTTCCTGAAACTCCTCTAGTAACATAGAATGGGTCTTGGAGCTCCTCCGGTAACATGCAATTTGTGAACGTATTTCATTCAACATTTGCATTTAAACTTTGAATCTTGATTCCATGTCATTAGAACTTGATTCGATGTTGATAAAAACATCGTTTAGTACATCTACGAACCATGCCTTTTGACAATATGGATCTAGCTTCCAAACAACATGGATTCAAGATTCCTAAAAAATTGGGAATCAATGCCTCGCACACGTTGAATCGCATTGTTGTGCAACTATGAATCGTAAATTCTGTGATATGGAATCTTGATTCCAAACTTCTAGGAATCAAGATTCAAATAATAACCTGGAAGGCGTTTCGAGAAACTTGGAAACGTGATTCTGATCTTCCAAAATCATGTTTCATCTAGGGAACTGCGAAATCACGATTCCGAACCGGAACCGTGACCTCAATACATGCTTCGGGTAATTATAACTTGCACTAATGGGGAGCTAAGTAAACGTTCAACTTTCACCAAGTAGGGATGCTCAAGGACATATTTAAAGGAAGAAAACATTACAAAGTGACTCAAGGATTAGGGAATAACACCACAAGCACAAGCACAATGTCTAGTGTTTTAACTTTGAACAACATACCAAACAATGAGGAAGAAGGATAGAAAGAAACTATAATAGACCTTTCCAGATTTTAAACCAAAATTTTAGCCACTAATTAGTGTTTCAAAAAGTGCTAGGAGGTCGGGGGGGTCCACGCCGTCCAGCGTCTAGGCGCTCCCAGAACCTGAGCAGCTCAATAGAAAACCTTTTTTTTGGATTTCCTCTCTCTAAAATCCAAAATTTTGCACCTTTAGTATTAAAAAAAGTATCCAAAAGTACTCTCAACGAGGGGTCATTTCCGCCCCTGGGCGGGGCACAAGCGATTTCTAAGGCGCCTAGGCCTGGGTGATGCGCCCAGGCCCCCAGAACCGCCTAAGTGGCCGCCCAGGTTTGGTGATTTCTTTATGATCAAAGGGTTTCTCAAAGTTGACAAAAATTGATCAAAACATCACCCATTGATATTAGATTTAATTTTTGATGTTTTATAAATCTATTGGGGGATTTTTTAGAAGATTTTGAGTCCTTAGAAGCATCTTTGAGAAGTTTGAAGATTGAGCAATCAAACTCAAAGTAAGTGCCCGAAATACCTAATTTTTATTTCTTATGCTTTATATCCTTTTTTTGTTTAAATGGACATCTTTTTTGGATTCGACTGGGCCGCCCAGGTTCTGGGCGCCTGCCTAGGCGCTAGGCGGCTTGGACCCCCCAGGCCGCCTAGGACCTGCCTAGCGCTTTTTGAAACACTGCCCGAGCCACGTAACTCGGGCTAGTCCAAGTGGACCCTGTTGGGGTTTGTAGCCTTTAAAAGGCCTAAGAGAGCTCATAAATAAAACTATTTATAGTGGTTTGTGCACTTTAGTAGGATGTACTATGATTGACAGACCTGGGGTTGGGCAGTCTATGGCCCAAGTTATGTCTAAAACCCTTACCCTTGGGCATGTGGGACTATTGTTGAGGATTTATTGTACGTCATCCCTTGTTGAGGTCGAAGAGATGCCCAGAGACGTTAGTTTATAAGACATGAAAGTTGTATGGTCTCCTGTGTGCAGAGGATGAGCCTATGAAAGCAAATGTCAAATCCTCAACAAAACTTCTGCACCATATTTCGAGAAGCAGCCTTATTTAGAGAAGAACGTGTACATGTGCATAAAGAGAGCATCCCCTTGCACTATAGGGAGAACTTGTAATCCACTTACTAGAATTATGGTTCCAATTTTTATTGGCTAACTTTGACGGGTCATTCATGAGCCTCTACACTTGACTGTGAGTCATAAGTCCCGTTGAGTTAGTATGAGAAGACGGTAGTGGATCATGGATCCTAACACAAATGGAGTGCCCTGATATTCACTTGTTATTTGACCTATAGGGTACCTATCCACTTCTAAGTTGTATTTCTGTGTGTTTCGGCTTTTATCGGAACTCCAAAAATACTATTTCCAACTAAAAATATGTTCCTGTGAATTTTGGGAATTTCTAAAATTTTAAAAATAAATTTTAAATGTGTAAAAACCCTAAAGGGGTATTTATGTAATTTTTTCATAACAGGGGTATTTATGAAATTTTGGAATTTAAGGGGTATTTATGAAATTTTGGAATTTAATTTAAAATTGGTGGGACCCATGTGGGGGCTAGGGACCCATGTGGGGGCTAAGGACCCAGCCCCCACATGTGAGGGGCCCACATGGGGCGTCATGTGGGGCCCACTGAGGCCACACACCCCATTATGTGGCACACCCCATATTTGGGGTTTTATTTTATACTATGTTTTGTTCTTTTAAATAAAATCCTAGTTGATTTTTTATCTTAAATTCTTTTCTCAATGAAAATTATTTTGGATAACTTTTAGATCTAGAAGTCTTTGACCAATTCAATCATTATTTTTTGAATTTGTAATTATCTCTTTGCGAGAGAATAGATTTTCTAAATCATTCTCGATTGTCTAGTTTTTTATAAAAGATTAAGTTTTAACTAGCTAAAGTTCTAGATAGTTTACAAGTGGATATGGGTCCAATCTTAGGGGATAAGGTTCCCACATATTCACTCTTGATCATGAGGGCTGATCTTGTAGATGAACGACTCAAATTAAATCTTCTCTATCACCTCTTAGATCACCTAATAATCCTAGATAATGTTAAACTCCTTATATGAATGGGACACCTAAACCATAGAGGCCTATAAATATGGGGGGTCTGCCCCTCATTCAGTACATCAAACGTCTCTCCCTCCCTCTCTCCTCTCCATGACCCTCTCCGACTTCTCTCTCATCTCTCTCTCTCTCCCTAGTCCTCTCTCTTGAAAAGGGCATGCCACCCTCCCTAAGTGGCTAGGGTGGCACACCCAACATAAAGAGAAAGAAAAAGAGGGGGCACGCCCAGCCCTAGTTTTAGTTTTAGGGGAGGTGCTAACTGTGGCATGCCCCAACGTTAAAAAGAGGGTTCTTAGTGAAACCCAATTGTGACCCTAGCTCTCTTACCCCATAAGTTTCAGAAAGGAAGCTCCGAAGGTTCTTCTCAATTTCGGATTGGTGGAGTCAACAAGTTCTAGGATCAAGTGCGCTATTGGTCAGGTGATCGGGTGGGGTGTGTAAGCCCTAAGGGGGTAACCCTAGGCCAAAGTTAGTAGATCTTCCCACATTTATTTAATTCTTATTTACTATTGTTCTTTTTTGTTTATTACCCAAAGTTATTAAGTTTTATATTAATAAAAAAAAAGAAATTTTTGAATTTACAGCCTGGAATTTTACATTGCCACTTCTTTCAAACTCATCTGAGTAGTGTATGAGCCAACAAAGGGCTAGAAATATAAAAAGTTCAAAAAATTTTAAACATAAAAATAATAGTTAAAAGCGAAGTAGACTACAAATAATATATGTGTGTGTGTGTGTGTGTGTGAAATGCTAAGGTTAGCCCAATAGCTCATAGCTACATATGAGCCCAATGGCCCAGATTGAATCTGGGCCGATTTGACAGTCACGACCTCATTTCGTATTTTAATTTTAATTTTTTTTTTTACAAATCCAAATCATATGAAATTTTAGGCATCCATTCTTCTCATCAAGGCGCACCTAATAAAAAATATTAAAAAAATAATTTGCAAAAAATAAATTGATCAAAATACCTCTGAAAAGTTTTGAGGATATTTTGGTCAATTTATTTCTTACAAAAAAAAATTTTATATTTGTATTAAATTCTCCAATTTTTTAAGAACACATGCTTAAAATTTCAAGTGATTTGGATTTGTCGAAAAAAATTAAATTTTAAATGCGAAATAAGGTCGTGACCATTAAATCGGCCCATATTCAATCTGGGCAGTTCGGCTCATATGTAGCTATGACTTAGTGGGCTAACCTCATAAGGCTCATATGTAGCTATGACCTATCGGCTAACCTCAGCATTTTCCTATATATATATATATAAAAGATGGTTTTTGAAATTTTCATTTATAGTTGGAAACACTTAAAAAAAAATTCAAAAAAACAAAAAATTCATAAAAATAGTGCCTATGACAAGAAAATTCACAAATCATCCTCAAAAACATCATAATCATAAAAAAATATTTATAAATGGATTTTACAAAAAAAATATTTTTTTATATTTTTGCATGAATTTTTTTATTTTCCCCAAGTTTTTGCCCAATTACTCGGCTCAGCAAGGGGCCAAGTCCAAGTAACTCGGCACTGTTTTTCAGCTTGTAAAGATCAGAAAGATACAAAAAAAAAATATAACATCTTTTTGTTCTTTGAATTATCATACATACCAAAAGAAAATAAAAATGGAGAAAGAACTAAATGTAATTCCCCCGCAAGGAGCAACAATGACAACAAGACTGGCTATCAACTATCTGCAACTCTCTTAAAGCTTGGAGTAATGCAGCAGCAAATTGATAGTCTTAAACATAAAACAAAATAAACCCAATCAACAGAAGTTACAGAACATAGATAAAAGGGCATGAATTTCGAACTCACAAGAAAAAAATTATATCTAAAGTCGATTCTATTTATGGGGCACATCAAGCGCACATGAAGTTTAGATCACAGAGAAGTTAGAAACTGGCGTCTATTGACCACTACTAATCCCGAAATAAAATCTAGCATCTATAAACCAGTCCACCAAAGAAAAAAGTGAGAAAAGAAGGAAAATCAAAAAATAAGGATAAAACACTCACCAAGATTGATGAACTGTGTGAACAATTGTCTGAGCTGGACCGAACGAACAGAGTCGAGGGTTGAGCCGATCCAACCCATCCTTCTTTCTGTCTCTGCCAAGTTGAAACGCTCACGTTCTGCAGGACCTCGACCTATGTATCTCTTTCAACCGCTGTTTATAGTAACTTACCTTAGATAATCACCCTATGGCTCACCAATACGCCCGGGAAAATGGACACCTTCTATATATCAATAATCACCTAAATGACAAGGCTAATCCGATGAGTACCCTTTCTAAAATCTATTTTAGAGATAGGATTTTGGATTTTTAATTTTAAAAAAATGAAAATCACGACCCTTCGAAAAAAATTACTTTTAAAAAATAATTATTTTTGACCCATTAATTTAAAGTTTTTGTGGGGTCTGCCATTTTCCGACATCCATTTGGGATACACATCCATCTCTAGAATGCATGTTACATGGGATGCTATTCTAACTTTTCCTTACTTAAAGGAACTTGAAAGTCAACGGTCTAAATAATAGTCACAACCGAAAGTCGAGATGATTTGAGTGTGCCCTAATTTTATACTATAAGGTTGATGCTTTATCTAAAAAGTTTTTCGTACACATACAGCAATAGAACACGTGTTTTGTGTTTTAATTTCATGTATCTTTTAGAAAAAATTATAGATATCTTAATTTTAATTTTCTACGGATCTTATCTCCAATATTGAATTATATCCTAAACCCAAACATTATTTTTCTTTATATTAAGACCAAAGCATTTTAAGACCAAAGTGCTTTTTTTCCCTCTATATTTCTCTTTTCAATATATTTTTCTATATTTTTCTCTCAAACTCTCCATCTACTTACCCAAAAAAAATTATCTCACCTTTGCTCTCTCCCTCTCCACCCGTTTTTCTCTCTTTCTTTCTCTCTCTACCCTTTCTCACTCTTTCTCTCTACCCTCCCTCGTTCTTTCTTTCTAACCTCCCTCACCATTTCTCTCTCTATCTCTTTCTCTCTGCCTCCCTCACTTTCTCTCTCTTTATCTTTTTACCCTCTCTCATTTTTTCTCTATACCACTCACATGCTCATAATACGGTCTGACAGAAGGATTGAAATTTTTTTTACAGTCCAATACAAAAATGTGCCAAACTGAACATGTGAATAGTAGAGAGAAAAAATGAGGAAGGGTAGAGAGAGAAAAAGAGAGATAAAGTGTGTGGTTTGTATAGAGTCGAGGCTCTAAACATTCAAAGTAAAACTCACCTTCAAAAAGTGTTGAGAAATGTGGTTTCAATACTGAAAATCTTTGTGATAGTATTACAATACGTTTTCATATTTAATTATAAAGCTTAAAAAATATAGTAGATCAAGCAGATATATGAAAATCTTGAAAATTAACTGTCCAAAAATGTGTTACGAGATGCACAATCTCCAAAACTTGAAATTTATTTTTTCTAAAATCCATACATCTTGATGTCAAGATGATCATTTTGAGGATATTTGGGCATCAAAACAACCTCTTCTAGTGAAATTTTTGAGATGGGCTCTAACTTTATTGTTTAGAGCCATTGCTCTACATAAAATTTTTCCTTATTTAAAAGGTACGGTTTGTATAGAGCCGAGGCTCTAAACAATCAAATTAGAGCCTATCTTCAAATATTGTCAAGAAATGTGGTTTCAATATTAGAAATCTTTGACTAGTCTTAAAATATATTTTTATTTTTAATTATAAAATTTAAAGCTTCAAAAATAATGTAGATCGCGTAAATCTATTAAAACTTGAATAACTTAAAAATTGACGATCTAAAGATGCACTACAAGATACAAGATTTCCAAAACTTGAACTCCATTTTTTTCTCAAATCCATTCATCTTAATGTCAAGATGATCAATTTGAAGATATTTGAGCACTTTTGATGTGGGCTCTAATTTGATTGTTTAGAGACTAGGCTATATAAATTTTTCCCTTATTTAAATTCGTGTGCTATATCAAAAGTGCAAAATGGTTCCACAAACAATCTTGTGTCGTGTGAAACAATCATGCAAACACTCCTCTTTTTTTTTTTTTTTTTTTTTTTTTACAAATAACAATCATGCAAACACTCTTTAAGAGCATTCTACATATCTGTGAATGGATTATAATGCAAATTTGAAGTTTATAATATAAATCCACATTATTAATCTCCACTTGACCATCTCGTCTTAAGATCAACATATATACTATACAAAAGCTTTGTTAATAAAAAGATAAAAAATCAACACAAACTCTTTTCTCTCCGACCCTATATCTCTCTCTTTGTTTTATACATCCTTGTTTTGGTTTCTAGTTTCCCTATCACTGAATAATCTTGACTATGTGATCAGCAGCCAATGTAAGTGATTCTACCAGTTTACTTTAGATGTCCGACTTTCCTTTGAATATCTAATAAATATTTGGGTGATCATCATTACGATAAGATTCGACAAAATTTTATATTGACTGCCTATCTAACGCAAACTACCTCATTTACTTGGCCTTGGACAGGTTAAAAAAAAAAAATTGAAATCCTCACCCTTATTAGACTATCCTTAATTATTTGTATATCGTTCCTAGAAATATAGTTTATTTTACCTTTTTTTGGATTCAGATGAGTATGTGGTTAATGGATGAATTATGTCTCTTGTAGTGTTTAGAATAGATTGGTGTTTCATTTGTCTTCTTCTCCATGACGAGATTGAGAAGTAGACTTTAGTGTAGAAAAAATATATAAATAGAAGAGAATTTCATGAATTAGATTACAATGGAACTATAAAAGTTTTAAGTTCCATTAAATGACTTTTCTAAATAAATAATTAAATTTTAAAGATAAATCAGGTTGAAGCATTGTGTGAATTCATGAATTGTTGTTTATATAAATCACGAACTCTGTCAAAAACAGGGGCTTTGATCGAGTTTGTGAAAAATACCCACTAAGAAAAAAAACCAAAAAAAATTATCTCAAAATTTTAGGTTGGTTAGTGGAGGGAGAGCGCAGATAGAGAAGGTTTTCTACAATTGACGTCAGTAAAATGCACCTTGGATGTTGCTGCTTCATAGGATGATAGAGAGAGGGTTTCCAATGGTTCCAAAGCTTTTGTTGGAGAGAGAGAGAGAGAGATTAAGGCGTCACTGTTGGAGAGACAAAAGAGAGGTTTAAGAGTGAAGAGACAGAGGGTGGGGAAGAGACTTCTACTTTCATAGTAAGGCTTAAAGGCACATACTATATTTCCACAGGAGCATCGTGCATGTGTAATACCATGTTTTCATAGACTTGGCCAAAGTCTTGTTGAGACTTGGACCAAGTCAGGTTGGCTGGCTTAGGCTTAGGCCCTCCGCAGTTCCATACTGGAGTGAGTTTTCAATTGCTGAGAATAATATAAATGACAGACATCATTTAATTAGACAAGGTTGTTAATGGATTGATCAATTGCTGCTTTCTGAATTTATAGGTTTCTGTATTGAGATTTATGGAACAGCTACCATCTACCCCCAAGATCTTACTAAATAAGTTTACTGAACAATACCTAAGGTGGCAGGATGAGAGGGCTGTTTATGGTATAAGAAGAGGAACACGTTTTTCAACAAAAGGGATATGTTACAGCTATGAGCAGAATCCCTACAAGATTGGGATTAGTTGATGAAGTCAAAACTTCAACAAGTTACATTGATAAAGGCTATCATACAATTATTCCAACAGCATTGATGTGCTCTCTTCACCCCATGTCGAACATGGATAAGCATCGCCTTGATGTATATAGTCTTTTCATCTAACAGCCGTTCAGGATTTTCTACATGTAACCTTCTGCAGTAAAATTCACTAGTATGGGTCATATAATGTAATAAAAGCCATAAGTAACAGTAACATCACTTTGGCGATTCAGTAAAGGCATCAATTTAAATGACAAATAGAAGAGGAAGCTTCATATTCTAAAGCTCATAAACAACATTAATGATGTATCGATAGAAGTAGAAAGAAAGATGTACTTTTATCATAACAAAAAGTTAAAAGTATTGATCCAATAGATTATGGTGCACTCAATAGACCATTGGGGTAATCAATGTCCAATAAACATTGTTTGTAGAGACAGCAAGAGCAAACATTTGGGTAATTTCTTGATTTGGTGGATACCACTGTCTCTGCACCACCATTCCTCATTTCATTGACAGTGATGTTACCCTAAAAGAATTTAGGAACTACGTTTAATTTAATTAACCCGTCCATCTTTTCAGTGAACAGTAAAGTTTCCATTGAAAAATTTAAAGAAAAAAAGGAAATTGATATATCACGGCAGTAGACAAGTTCCAGAAATGCAACTAAATTTATATACAGGAATTCCAGAGCATTGGGATTGAAGAACTGTACAGGTAGCACCATATGCGAAATGTACGTAAGATTTGCACACATATTCAACATTGTTAGGTATTTTATCATAAATAAAGTCATTATAATCCATGTCCCCTTCTCATATTTTATTGTCTCTCTCTTAGTAAGAAGGCGATTCTGATATAATACAGTGGTGGGCATAGCAAAACATAGCAAAGAAAGCCAAAAGGTATGTGTACGCATATGCTACATTACAAGTTAATCCATCATCCATTATGGACAGTGGAGGTTTATTGAATCCAGGCAGACTTTGTAATTAGAAACTACAGGTTTTTTCCACTTTGTGTGAGAATGGCTCATGGATGCCCCTGTTGTGTACCATATAACACTAACTGCTGGTGTATGGTATGAAATTTCCCTTAACATGAAGAGTTGAATGCAATTATTATCAAAATATTTTGAGAGTTGGTGTTAATTGAATAAGTTTCTTCCAAGAGTTGGTGTTAATTGAATAAGTTTCTTCCAGTGTGTATGGAAAGAAAGGATGCGGTCTCCTGATGTACTCAAAGGAGCAGAGGATATGATAAGAAGTAACTCGGAGTTTAAGGACTAGGAAATAATTAAAAATAACAGAACGTAAATTTCTGCTCTCGGATGCACTAGTGCATTTTCTGATTCTTGACTTCATGTGATGAGACTCAATTTTTTATAGAATGAACATCCAAAAATGATCAACAATCACTAACTGGCACTTGGAGTCATGGTCCCAAAAAAGAGGGGCTAAGAGAGGTAATCTGTACTTTATTTGTAGCATAGTTCATCAGTAAGATTCAAACGTGGGATGCATGATTGCAAACAACAATACCTTAACGACATAACCAATCAAGCCAAAGCCAAAGTCTAAAAAATGGTAGATTTGGTGCTTTGGGACAAACTTCAACAAAAACTAAAATCTCTAAAACTACGCTGAAGCCTAAATGAAAAGTGTCCACTGCTGATGCGTGGCAAATGTTACATATATATCAAGAACGGTTTTAAACCCAATGTACCAGTCTTCTAGAACAAACGTTGAAAAAATAAAACTCAGAAGTTATAATAAAATAAAGAATGAAAAGAACGTATCAAAGATTGGCAGATGATCGATCGTTAGATGGATGCTAGGGAACACACTCTTGTTGATGTTCCGGTTACATGTCCAATGAGATAATGCTTTTAAGGTCTGTCAGTGCATCCTCATCTCGAAGGATTCCACTATTTTTATGAATTGTCAAATCTAGAGTTTTGGAGGTTTGCAAAAAGTTGGAAATTATGTGACAGCAATAGGACTTCTCGTAGATAATTATCATTCATAATATGGTCCTGATTTGTAGCTGAATTAATTGATTTGATGTTATAACTTAGAAACACAAGGAATAACAATGGAACAAAGTTGTCTATGAGGTGAAATTCATGTAAAATTGTTTTGAATATGATGAGAAGATTTAAGCAAAGAAAGGAGTACGACTACTCTAGATTACACATCCTAGAAAAATATTTCTATTTCATTAGAATATATCAGCAAAAAGGACTAATTACTGGCATATTTTGAATAAGATTGAGACATATTGGAAAGCAAGTGACATATTGGAAAGCAAGTAACAACTTCCCCTATCTCAAGCAACTATATGTATCATCTTTTTATTTATATTTATCATCCTTATACATATGTCTTCAACATCATCATCTGAGCCTTATATTAACTATTTGAGGTTGGCTACATGAATCATGTTACACCATTCTGCTCGGTAAGTCACCATATCTCTTTTCACTACTTCCATCCATATCCTTTTGGGCCATCCTCCTGTCCTTTTAGAGCTTTCCACTTGAACCAAATCGTCCCTCCTAACCAGTGTTGTATTAGGTCTAGCTGCACATGATTAGCCCACCTAAGTCTACTTTCCCCTCATCTTATTGCCTATTGGAGCCAACCCTAAGTTCTCTCGCATGTATTCATTCTGAATTCTATCCTTTCTTATCTTGTCACTCATCCATCTCAACATCTTCATCTCAACCACACTCATCTTATAGATACGTTGTTTCTTAACTGCCCAACATTCCGCCCCATAAAGTATGGCTAGGCTTACAACCGGCCTATAAAACTTCCCCTTTAATTTCTTTAGTAGGCGGCGATCACATAATACTCCGAATGCACATCTCTACTTCATCCACCCAGCTCTAATTCTATGCGCAGCATCTTCCTTAATATCTCCATTCTCCTCGATTATCGACCCAGGATATAAAAAATAATCTCTTTTAGATATATCTATTTATAGAGAGTATAAAAGACTCACCAATATTATAAGCAACTTCACTAGGATTCACCTTCATAAATGAGTTCTATGAAGCAACCCCATAATTTTAATCAATGTCTGAGTCCATATTTATGAAATGTAGGCGGATTGGCAAATCACACATTTAACACGTGAAAGTATATTCAGACCATTATTTAAAACCATAAAACCGAATCAACATTGTGAGTGACAAAAACGAGACAACTCGCCAAGTTGGACATCCAACTTGGACAAACTTGGCCGAGTTGTTAATTTTGGAAGAAGTTAAATCTAGAATTGTTGTTGGTAGGAGTAGAACTTGGTTTCTCACCAAGCCAATCCATGCATGCAACCAATTCATCAAGACTAGCGTAAGAAAACAACACACAAAAAATTGTATATAGAAGAGATGTTTTCATTTATAAAACAATGTCCAGTCAACTCGGCAAGTTTTCCGGATATTTGAAATCAAAGTTTCTAATAACTGATTCAGATACAAGTACTTCAATATAGAGGAACTTGGAAAATTTGCCAGCTTTAAATGGAGATAGATACATACATCTCCTCCCCTGTAATGCCAATCCATTCAAAATATAGGGGTCCGAGCAGTTGCATAGCCTGGTAGAGTAATCCATGGGGGGGAACGGAGCCGTACTTCCTACAATGGTTCTCGTTATTGTTTACCGTCTTATACATCCCCCAAATGATTCAAAAGAAATCAATGGTCTAACAATTCCCACATTTCCCAATTTATTATCTGAAAAAGATGGCAATCACAACGCGAACTCATTTGCTTTAAATTATTTTCTTGGGCCCCAATAGGTTCTCATAAAATAAAATTCCTCATTATCCCTTTCTAGCTTTTCTGTTCAGTAAATCTTTTCATCATGCTTACAACTATGGTACACCCTATATAAATTTTGTAATGCTCTAGGCTATTTAGGCATTCTTGTTTCCCACTTTCTAATAAAATAGACTCACTACAGGCCCAAGCCTGAGTCAAGGCAGACAATTTGACGAGCCCCTCCAAGAAGAGGCCACATCTAAGGCTAAAATGGCCTGAAAGACCTGGAAATGGATGGCTTCGGTCGAGATTCATGACAAACCAAAAGACTCACCAGGGAGCCCAAGGCATGTCGATTTGCTGAGTTTTTAACATCAAAATAAATCAGATCAATAAAACAGTGGTAAAATATGAGACTATGGGTGATACTTAGCAGCTAGAGGTCATGTCATTGCCACCTAATGTGATCAGCTTTTATCAATAACTTCAACAACATTCTGCATCCAGCCACTAAAAACCCATTGATTTGCTGAAAAGGTATCATCATTTGCAGATTGAAATGCATCTACAAAATGAAAAAGATCGCAAGCATTACTTTAACACAGATTGATTGCAGCTAGTTTGAAATTTTCAATAGCATTAGATGGAATGGCAAATGAAAATAACATATATTTGTATCTCAACAGCTTCTCTGAGACCTAAATTCCTTGCACATCTCATGATTGTTGACCTTCCAGACATTCCTCTGAAAAACTAAAGACAAATTTAATTAAGGGTGTGGTTTGCATAAGGTTGCAACCTTAAACAATCAAAGTAAGGTGCACGTCCAAACTTTGTCATGAGATGTAATTTTGGTGTCGAAAATTCTTAGGATGGTACAAGAATTTATTTTTATCTCTAATTATTAAATTTGAAACTTCAAAAATGGTTCAAATCAAGCAGATCTATAAATGCATGAAAATCTTGAAAATGGACGGTTCAAATAGTATGTTACAAGATGTACTATTTTTAGGACTTGAAATCTCTCTTTTTCTCTATATCTATATATATTGATGCAAGATGAGCGATTATAAGTTTTTCCAACATCAAAACAACCTTTTTGAAGGCTCTTAGAGGTGCACCCTAATTCTATATTTTAAGGTGTCAACCTTATATAAATTTTTTCCTTTAATTAAACTAATGTAATACTCGATGGTTCAATAACGGCACAACTGGATTCAAGACCACAAAACTTATTATCATTTTTTGTCTTTGACTCCTTTGAATCAGAATGTTATCATTTCTTCTACTGTGTATGACACATTAGACAAGGTATCACATCCTAAGAAAGATGAAATTTCATTTTGTAAGTGAAAACAGCTCTTTTTGAGTAGACAAAACTCATCTAAGTCAACTTGTCTCATTCAATGAGTTTTATAAATGAAATATTTGGGATGTGTTAGAGTTTTTTTGTTTATATGAAGTTCTATGTTGTTCAGACATATAGATGCTATCTTCCAATGCGCAAAGATTGTTGTAAATCCTTCAATAGACACTTTGTACTTTTGGTTCTTTTTTAATATATATATAAATTTCATATAAAATTTTGAAAAACTCTTTAAGAGTTTTTTGAGTCAGCTGTTTGACTTGCAAGTTCACTCAATTTGGAAGCCAAAGCTTCAGCCAATGAGTTTGAAATGTTGAAAGGCCAATCACAACTACACAATTTTGACAATACATCGCTGCTAGGTCCACAAATATACAAAGCTCTTAAATTCCTAAAAGCATCTTGCACTGTAGTCATCTTCTTAAATGAATAAATTATTACAACAAAGGAAAACACTACGAACATAACATGGTATCACAAATAATCATATTAGGTGTACATCAATAGAAGATAAAAGCGAACAAACCATAAACCAGCTCTCAATAAAATTTAGCCAAATTAATATATAAGTAAAGAAAATTCATTTTCCAATTAAAAATAATAAAATAAAACAATGTCATTTTCCAACTAAGATTAATAAAATAAAAAATGTCATTTTCCAACTAAAATTAATAAAATAATAAAATACTACCTTTATAAAGAGTCCACTTTTGATATCTTGGGTCGATAATCTAGGAAAATGGAGAGATTGAGAACGATGTCACACATAGAACTAGAAGTTGAAGGGGAAGTTCTATAGGACAACTGTGAGACCAGCGTTACTTTATGGGACTGAATGTTGGGCGGTCAAGAAATAACACACACATAGGATGAGTGTAGTTGAGATAAGGTCGTTGAGATGGATGAGTGGTAAGATAAGAATGAGATAGAATTTGAAATGAATATATTTGGGAGAACTTAGGTGTGGCTCCAATAGGTGAGAAGATGAGACACAGTAAAGTGGGCTAGGCATGTGTAGCACAGACCCAGTACATCACATGTTGGGAGGTGAAAGTTGGTTCAAGTAGAAGGCACTAAAAGGGCAAGGGATAGGCTCAAAAGGATATGGTTGAAATTAATGAAAAAAATATGGGGACTTATAGCCTCATTGAGGGTATAGCCCTCGACAGAGCATAATGGCAAACTAGGATTCATGTAGCCAACCCCCAATAGTTGGGAAAAGGCTCTGGTGATGATGAAAAAACACCTCTATAGAGGATAGTGATACTGGGAAATAAAATCTTTCAATGAACTTTTGAGTAAAATTAACATAAAGAACCAAATTTGTGAAATATTGCTTGAACAATACAAATATTTATTGAAAGAAATTGGACAAATTTTTGGACACCAAAACTAGTAAAGCACAATGCAAACAAAAAACAAGAAACTATAACTCTCCTAAAAACCTTAAAGAACCCATTTGCTGAAGTAGAAATCTTCAAAAACTTTTTTGCTAAATTAATCATATATATTCGGAAAGGATGACGTGGGGTGGGGGGGGGAAGCAAAAAGCAAAAGGCAAAAAGCAAAAGGAGGATGAAAACTAATTGAATGAACAGTGAGTAAGCACTTATATGTTGTTGAGTACTTGTGATTTCTTAGTAGGAGAATTGTTATTGGAGGTAGTGGTGGTTTGAGAATTTCATTATCAGCGGTTTGGGTGGGTTCCATTGGTGCCTTGGTGGTGGTTTTGATGTAGGAGTTTAGGTAGTTATTGGTGAATTGGGTGGCTGAAAACGTCTTTGTCTGGGCCTAATAGAAGTACATCAAATCCAGTATAAGGGCACGTAAATCGAGTTTTGAATGGGAAAAGTCTGAAATGTTTGCATATTGCACGAAGACAATAAATGGAAGGGGCATACACCGGGTCAAGGAGCATTTTGCTCACAACTCTAGCAATGTGAGCAATGCCATAAAGTGCCCGTCCATGTCATCTACAAAAAGCCAACGAGCATTGAGGATCATGACAGTGAGAAGCAGCGTCAGCAAATAATTGCCAATGAGACTGGGAATCCTTAGTCCCTCCCCATGGAGACATTTGATTTCGATGAAGAGGATCCCCAGTCCACACCCAATTTAGACCAGTTTAGCAGGAGAGCACTCTAACTATTGATGGTGAGAAGGGCATACCATGCTCTCTCTCTCTCTCTCTCTCTCTCTCTCTCTCTCTCTCTCTCTCTCTCTCTCTCTCTCTCTCTACTCTCTCTCTCTCTACTCTCTCTCTCTCTACTACTATACATC